GTAACGAAGGCCAGCAACTGCATGCGGGTTGTCTGATATTGTTAGGATACGGGATATTCGGTAGAGAAGGCAAAAAAAAGTTGAAAAACCATCATCATTGAATACGATGAATATAGATAAAAAGAGCGGAAATGCACAAGGAGAGGGAAGGAAGGAGGACGCGCCGTCGTCCGCTGAGTCGGCAGGAGGTCGCCTAGCAACGGGCCGGCATCTCCGCCGTTTCCGGCATTTGACAGCGGTAATCCAAGCGGTGCTCTTTTACAGCAATCGCTCGTACGAGATAGTTTCGGATAAAGGGGTCAATGGGAGATATCCGGCGGAGAGGTATGAGTCGGATTACTGAGATGTTTTCTGATAATAGAGAGTTTGCGCAAGAGCGCTGGCGCTCTCTGGCGCTATTTCACTACAGATACTACGTGACTCAACCGTGTAATTATGAAAATTATATGAGAAATGTCAGCCTTTTAAATGTTGCTTCAACTTCATTATGGACATCAGAACGAAAAAAGAAGCAGAGGAGACGTGTTCGGAAAAGCGCCAAGAAAGCGCCGGCGCTCTTGCGCAAACTCTCTAATAGTTGTTGCACTGTCCTTCTTGAAAATAGTATCATAGAGACGACAGAATGAATTTAGAATAAATATTAGATAAAACGAACCCAACCAGTGACATTTATAATACATCTTCTACCGCTTCTTGTTATCACTTGATTCTAAATGAATATATCTAAAGACCGTCAAGACATACCATTACCGTATGTCGAAAGATCCAACCTTCAGCCGACTCAAGGACTGCAGATCGTTGTACTTTGAGTGAGGGTGGAGACGAAAGTCCGATAGGTTCAAATCGAGTGGGAACACATTTTATCGAATCTGTAGATATAACACACATATCCTATGTAAGATATTTTTCCAATCTTCTTCTTGAAAAACTTAGGGGAGAGTGTGTTATTCCTCGCCTAATATTAACAACAAGAATGGAAAGACAACTATATAAGATGTCATGATATTTCATTCAGATTCGATTGCGAAGTTCCCTAAGGAGTATGCATGACTCATTCTCTCGTGAGATCATAAGGTTATGCGAGAGCACTGTCATCTGCCACAATCTCACGGAGAGTGTTGTAGAAAAAGGACCAACACCAGCACGCTGCAAAAACGTTCCATCGATTCTACAGGCTTGAAGAAATATAGATTTAGCAGGAGATCTAGGAGACTATATAGCTAGCACTGATCGTCTTATCCTCCATCATTGGATTTTCTTCAGCTCAACCATGATGCCCAACTAGCGATTAAATTCTGTCTCGCAGAGTCAAACACCTGAAACAAACGTGTACTAACAAGAATAATGTTCTCGACTCGGAGTAGATGTATTATCCAATGTTGGGACTTCGCAAAAAATGACTGGATGGAGTCAGAATGTTTCTACAAGTACCTTAATATATAATCATACGCACGAAGAGCCTTCAGTCCATACAAATCCGAAAAGGGCAGGCACCCGGATGATCTTTGCTTTGAATAAAGGACATCATCGCTGTGTCCTGCGAGTGAATGGAATGAAGGTACTACGTGGAAAATCTATAAAGATGAGAACGAGACTGATAGGAAAGATATCTGGAAAATGTTCCGTTTAATATCTGCGAGGATTTAGGCTCAAAGATCATCGATGAAAATAATGGCAATGGGCATACCAGGATGATCTTTGAGGTAAGACTGGTAGAAAAAGAAGGACTTTGAATAATCTCTCACATCCTTTCTTACGATACTTTTGAACTATGGATCGAAATGAAATATTCTTCTCACTTTGATACAGCACTACTGTTCATGAAGATCGAGGAATGAACACGAGAGGTACTATAAATAATTAGCTCTAGAACGTGGTGATCTCATAACCTCATCGATGCCATACAAAATTCATGGCCCACCTAGCAGATACCTATAACTATATCTGACAGATTTAAAAATGAGTGATCGAATTTAAGCGCACCAGTGAGGACGGTAGATTATGAGAAAAGGAAAGAAGAAGCAGCGAACAGCTCGCTGCACGACGAATAAAAGCCTAAAGGTACCTCTTACACCATTTCTACCTTATATTTTTACAATACCTGTCCATCAAAATGAACGCATGATATCGTATAAAGTCATTCGGCGGCCATTGACTCAGAGGATCTAGCTCGACAGGTCAGAAATTCATCAACACTACGTGCCTCAAAATTGAGAGGTTGTAGTAAACCCAAGGCTCCCGCCGAGTGAAATCGAGGTATTTTATCCTCGCAGCCACCATCCAAAGGCCCCCTTCTATCCACTTCCTCGACATGAGGTTCACAGTACATTATCATTTTTATTAATAGAGCCATACTCGAGCAGGTAATGAAATGCATTGAACTGAACAAAGGGACTACTATGTGAGATACCCGTGAAGATGAGACGGGGATTGGTAGAAGGAAACACGCATTTGATGCGAGAATATATTTCGCAGTTGATGGACCCTCAACCAAAAACCCCGGTAAACCTGCTGCGATAATTCACTATATGGACGGAGACTGGAGCTTAATACATGTATCTTAAGCTAATATGATACAAATAATATTAGACACGGGACAGCATAATGGAATCAACTGTTTCCTCACCAGGCGTGTCATCCCAAGTCACGACCCAGATAACATATGGCCCACCCATTACGGGCTTCCATGGATATATAGCCATTCAATAGGGAACTGGGTGATTGAGCTACAGCACCAGCAGTGATGATAGTAGATGACAAAAAATCTTGAAAGAGCATAACACACACTATACTGATGAATATGTTAACAACAAGGTAGCCTCTGAAGCAAGGCTAAAAAAACGTATATTGTTGTATCGAGGCGTGTCTGATAAGTATATTATCAGTAAAATGAGAGGTCTTCAAACCACTGGGAGCATTCGTACTGTTTTGCGGACATCTGTGTCGAAGGTTTGGAATTGGAGAAAAGATAAACTAAAATAATAATCAAGCCTCGGTTTAAGCGTATGAATGGAGAGACTCGATGAGTTGCTTACTCCTTGACAGCAATGCCCATCTTTTCTGTGCGAAGGAAGAGAGCCTCCATCCAGAATGTTACCGCCACGTGAATAGACGGTATTTGAAAGTGCCGATCTATCATAATAGTATAAACAGAAAGGGAGAGAAAGAGAGACATTGATATTGACGAGGTCAAAAGAGATTTGTCACCAGTAGAATAACCAAGTGAAATAGCAGTCTCCGAAATAGTCACAAAAAAAAGTACGCATAGGCAGTCTAAAGTGCTTGAGATACGATGGATTCAGAAATTTCTCAAAATTTCCTGCTGGAATGACAGCGATCGCAGGTGGAATGAAATAATTATTGGCAGTCAAGAAAGGACTTGTTCCACCTCGATGAGAGATTAATCGAATTTTTGTATAAGATAGAAACAAAATTGAAGGGAAGCAGGAGGATGAGAGGATGACGCGGACGCCGGGCTTGCCCAGTTGCCGCTGAGTCAGCGGCCCGCAAAAGCTTCTGGGCGGAGATGATAGATGGAAAGACGATGATGTACGTTCGTATTCTTACCTTGATGCTATTAGACACTAGTATCACTTACGCGGTATCAGAAAGGCTCTCGGGACGCACTAACTCATCACGCGACTGCGCGTAGATCGTGAATCCGACGCAACGGCGTCGATCGGAAGGCTGTATGGCGTCCCTACCGGTATGCTCCTATCGTTGGTGCAAGTCCTTGGCAACAGCGATATCGCTCAAACAGCTCCGAGTCGGTGCGCTGTCAACTGGACTGACTCAAGGGCGTCCATCCTTCACGTGAGGACTCCCGAGGTAAGTTATATAGCTTTTATATCAATCAATGGCGTTGCTGATATCCATAGTTCAGGTTCGATTCAACTGACTTGGCAGATCGAATAACAGAGGAAAGAATACCATCCAAGACCAACGATATTACGGATCTCGCACCGATTTGTTAATCATTAACTCGGAATTAATCTACCGAAATTCTCATTCTACGTTTTGATCGCCAATATTAAGTTAAACGTCCGTTTGCTAGCAAGGCCAAAGTATCAGGAATCCGTTCATGTCAATAGACCAACTGTAGGATCTCAGCAAGATACGGATTCGGCGACGAGAGTCTCTTTTTAAAGATAGCAGTTTGTATATAGCAAAACTCGAGATATTGGAGGCGGAGATGGAGCGCGTTCCACCGTGCATAACCCAAAGTCTCAAACGTTGTTCCATATCAAATGATTCTACCACCAGGATTTGCAAACTAGTCGGAATCGATAGCCGAAATCCCTTCAACGGCGAAAGCTACGACCCACCTATCCTGCTCCCCTGCTCTCACCAACATCTACCTCCAGCTTTCACTCCCATCCTCCATCCACTTAGATCCAATGCATATCACATACCGTCTTCTTCTTCATATTCTTCTTCGCAACCAAAAAGTGCTGCGTCGCCAGGAAGATGCAATTCTTTTCTCTAGCAAACGGAATATCTCAATCCGAAGTGATCGAACGAAATTAGATAAATTCGTTATATTGGAAGTTACCGCTGGATCTAGATATCTTACCTTCCTCGTCGGTGATGTAGCACTTATTCACACCCCTCGGAAACCATGGCATAAATTCAGGGATCTGCGACGATGTTGCAACTGTGCAAGCCATTGGTCCCTGCAATTCTTCTTTTAACAACCGAAGGTCGAAGGCAACCCTCACTAAATGTGCGAAGCGTCGTCGAGAGATTGCTATACTTCAGATCATCGGCGCACAGAATCCGGATTATGATTATTTTCTCGAGTGAAATCGCCCTTAGCCACGGTCAGTCACTGTACACTTTCATCTTATCTCGCTTTTAATAATTCCTATAACCGAATGTCTACATCATAGTCAAGCATTGAAATGCACCTCACACTGATTGCATTCCCTGCTCGATAAAACTGATAGTCTCAAAATATGCGCCTTAGCGTTGTAATCCTAACACCGTAGTAGGCTGCGACAGCCCGTTTAGCACAGTGGTAGTGCGTTCCACTTGTAAATTTCGAAGTTCACATGGAAAGGTCGCTCGTTCAATCCGGGCAGGGGGCATTCACTATAAAATAAAAGTTTTTTCTTCTTAAGCTGTACTAGTACAAATAAATCAACACCTACATAGGCCTATCGCATGGTAACTTTGTATTAAGCTTGTTACCTATAAATAGCTTTTGACCCGTCAAGTGCAGTTTTTTAATTTGAATTCAGAACTAAATAGAAGGAGAGAAGAAGAATATACAACTGTATGTGGTATGTCGACCCCCTCTTTCCGCATGACACTGGACGTGGATTATTTATCTGCCTATAGAGAATCCAACTCAAGACTCGTACTTCGTAGTGGTGGCTCATATGGAGACAGCTTTGGATAAAAGGATACCGGATATCATGCGGAGGTCGCGTTGAAAGTAGTACTCCGACGGTTCATATTTATTTGTCTATAACGATATGAATCCCCTTATATCAATGCACCATTATATTAAGATTCTCAATGCGTATCAAGTCGTCTACACCAACTTCGATATATTGCATTTGAAAGCTGTAGTGGTATAGAGTTTTAGCCCCTACACCGTGAACTTGAACTCACGATATATAGAAGAAAAATAAGTAACAGCTATACCGTCCCTCCTTCCGCAAGCCGACCAAAGGAGGATTTTCCTCATCGAATCCCATTAGGACTCTATTACAGCTTCGGATAAAGCTACCAACATCAGAGCAAGAAGCGGAGGTCAAGGAACCGTAACGGTTTGATCTGAGTAGGTTCACTTATATTCATTCCCAGAGCTACCAAGGCCATCCTCGTATGCGCCTATCATTCAACAGTGGCGAGATACCAGCACGACCAATATCCACGAGGCGTTCCACAGTACAACGGATGTGACAAAATTACATTTCCAATTGCAGTCATTATGTTATATTTGACTCAAAAATAATGGTCGATCAATGTCTGTCTGGTCTGCGGGAAATCATTAGATATAGGCTCGTAGTGGTACCGAGGAATTTCTTATGGAAAGACAGGCGATGCCAAACCAATGGGATGAACCATAGATCCTTATGATCGTAGCGAATAAATATGATGATAATCCTTACCCGGCCACCGAAAAGATCACGCTTGGCCTCGACTTTACGTTGTTCGCAGTTTGGTATTTCGAAAATAGAAAGAAAACAAGGAAACAAAATTATTCAGAATGCAGTCATCTGTAAGAAAGAATGCTACATATATATATGTCCAATGCACCTTCCTATCAATAGTCAGTATCATTAAATGTCTCTTGTGGCAGCAGGAGAGATACATCAACTTGGACATGGTATCCTGAATTCCACCGACGTGCCGTGAAGGAATCAAACCTGCGACGTCATGGAGTATGCATATGCTAAACTTGAGACTTTATAAGAGATATAGAGAAGGTAATTAACGATCGTAAGCTAACGGAACTTAGCGATGGAGGTACATCTAATACACATTTCCATATTTCCGGCCCAGGGAATTGACAACCAAAAGAGTCGTCTCATAATTCCACGCATTTCGCAAAATAGAGCTTATCCCATGATTAAAGCACTCTAGTTTGAACGATAAACTACAGGTGTACTGGTAAGCCTGACACTAGAGGCATTGAGGGATTTTCTGCTGAGAAAAACACTAGGAAAACCTTAAAAGTGCACCCTATTTCTTCAGTGTTTTCACATGAATTGTGTTAAAACCTTAATAAATGCTGGTTTTCTTTTGGTTTTCCTTCAATGTTTGGGAAAACACTGAAGAAATGGGGTTGACTTCTAAGATTTTCTTAATGTTTTTCTCAGAAGAAAATCCCTCAGTGCTTCCTGTGTGAGTACCTTCACGCGACAGAAATAACTCTTCGATAAATATGGGAATCTCGGTGGAAAAGCAACAGTACCGAGTTAAATTTAATTATACAAGTATCAACCCCAATCAAGATTAGAAAATTATATGTAAGCTAGAGATAACTGGAGTTATGAAGTCTCGTCAGAACGATAGAGGAGAAGGAGAAAGAAAGCTAAATGGGCGAGCGTGTGAAATCGTGGAATCGACCAGAACAAACCAAACACGAATAGGCACAACGGTTGCCACGCCCCTACCGACATACATCCTTCGCCTCATCGGCCTCAATGAGCTCTATAATATTGCCAGAAGATACTTGGTTTTATATTTCTCATGCATTTCTCGAACGCGAAGACATCCGCAACCTTTCTGTAACCAGTCGAGCATTCCGTAGATATCTTGTACCACTCATCTTCCGGGAACTCACTTTCAGAGGCTTTCGCAGCCCTTGTTGTCAAACTATTGCATCCACATTCGCTCACCTTAAAGGAATACAGGAGTTTATTCACCTCGTACGGTCAAACAAGGGGATATTCAGGGCGATACGCAGAGTAGAGCTCAGGGATTGGGTTGCTTTTCCATCAATCTGTACAGGTATGAATGTAATTTTATCTTACAAACACTCCTCTCACCTATAGCCTTAGACACATTCAACGTTATAATCATGGAAAAGCTTATGACACTCTGGAAAGCCACATATCGCTCCCTGGTCGCTCTGATCAACGATATCCCGAATCTTCAATATATGGCCTTCCATGAAACGGGTAGTGCATGGGCACTAACAGAACCTCCTTTTCCAGCCAAGTTCCCTGCACGATATGAACTTTCGATCCGGTCTCAATACTTGGAATACCAACTAGGGGACGTCCGCAGTACTTCTGCCGAATTTGTAGTTCCGAACTTTGTAGAACCGAGGTTGATACTTGATGGAGTAGGTGAACGCGCAGCAGATATGGATCTATATCTCAAGGACATCTTGGACTCCGCGTCTTTTCCTTTGGTCTCAGCAAAAATCCATACTCTTTTCATCACCAGTCTATCCTCTTCGATGATCACGAAATTCGAGTCCATATATCGCATGAGTATAGCATTCCTGCACAATGGATATTACGATAATCTTGATTACACTAATATCCAAAATTTATTTGCAAATATCCCCAAACTCCGTCAACTCCATATCGGACCGTATGAACACTCAGCAAAACGCCTCGTGATACTGACGGATTCTATGCCAAACTTGGAGTCGTTCATGGGGCCAGAGGAGTTGTGGCCTCTCTTTACCCGCGGGAGGTCAATTCATGAGCTTTACAGGCTCCAAGGTCCACCTCGTTTGCATTCGGAACCATCCGCATCAATTTCGAAACTAGAGAGATTCACGGCTGACTCTAGGCTAAATAATCATATATTGGATCTTTCTCCGCTTCCTGTTGTCTCAGAAGAACATATCACAACCTTATCAATCCTATTGCCGAATCTGGAAGTTCTCGGGTCAAGATGTGATCGATCTAAGCATCAGGTTCGCTTAATTCCTCATATATCTTGTCAGTGTGCTAATCATATTTGGTAACAAGTCACTTCTTGTGTATTATCTTGATGCGGTATCAGCCTTTCGCCGCCTAAAGCAACTTCATATTTTGTGTTTGGGAGCTGTGAGCGCTACTGTGCCAGACATCAAATCTTTACCTGCTCCGTTCCACCATCATCCATCTCCCTTACTCGACGAGATTCGCTTTATCTCTGTATGTACAGCACGTTGGCATCCGGATCTGGGATGGAATTATTATCCCTATTGCATGGAAACCACAGTCAGCTCACATGCGTGTGAGCTTGACCACCACGATGAATTATGGCCCATGATCGATGATCATTTGGATGCTGGCAGTTAAGATAGCAGTCACATGTGAAATACAACATTTCGCCGGACGGTCAATCGAATTGGTTGCACATGAAATAAGGCCCGTGAACGTTAATTAATGTGAGTGTGAACCCCTGCATTCAACTCGATCACGTAATTGTATAGTAGATCGGGTCCTTATACTTTCATAGTATTTACTAAAGCTATTTTATTTATTTATACCATTTACCTGCACACAACACTTTATAAGAATATTTTTATTCAATATATTAACAGTTTTCTTCACTATCCTCTTCTTCGCATTAACCAGAAATGAATAGAGTGCTGAGTCGCATGACTTTAGGCAGTATGAGCACATTAGGACAGTGGTCTGAGTTGAATCAGCCTTGCATTGTAAGTACATGCGCAGTACGTATTCCGCTCATTTCACTTGTGATAATCCTTCCCAGAAAATTGTACAATTATAGTGTGACCCCGTCCATGGCATTCGATGTTCGCCGTTCTGTAAAGCGATACTCTGACTTCGATCCGCAGACGCTATATTACCATGTGGGTAAACTAGTGATAGCCCGTTTAGCACAGTGGTAGTGCGTTCCACTCGTAGCTCGTGTAGTTCATATGGAAAGGTCGCTCGTTCAATCCGGGCAGGGGGCATCTACTTTTAATCTTGTAAAGTGTATTTTTCTACACCTCGTACAGTAGGAAAATTTTCATGAGCTGTAATCTAATGTAGGTATTCGTCTCAGGTGCTGTTTTTAATCCTTTCCGCCCCTAAGTCAAAATGGGCAGTACCGCACTGCCGTACGTTATTTGTACGTTATCCTCCTTCCTCAGTATCAGGATCTTGATACTTGAAGACTTTTACTTCTCCTTGATAGAATCAGAAAATCGTATGGAGACAGTTTTGAACAAGGGGGGTGAAAGCAGATATTATGATGCGGAGACTGGGATTAATCCGATGTTTCTTATACTAGCATGTTCGTCATTCTTCTCGTACCCTATGAATTCCAGAATATCTTGTAGAGATAGAAAAGAAGACAAGACATCGGCTCATAAGACATACCGTATGGTGCCTCTTCCAGCTCTTCAGACAAATCCAGGACTGCACTAGGAAGCCCTACTAAGAGCGAAGCTAAAGACACGAAAATCCAGTCAGATTGATACGGTAAGCGTAGTGAGACTCCTTGGGAACATATCGCCGCCGGAATCGTACTGAAAGATGATCGTATGCACCAATGAGGAAAAGACCTCGTTCTTCTTTATACCACGGGAAATTGTATTTCTCCCTATAACTTCAGACGAACGATAATACACAACAACGCATACGAGATTCGAGACTTCCTGTGAGATTCGAAAATAATT